TGCTTTCATGTCTCACACCCGCCCTGGTGGTTACCTGTGCACCTCAGCAAGAGAGGCTTCTTAAATTGGGAAGTGTGCCTCACCCTTAGGAGAGCTCTGTGGGGCTCTCGCTGTCCTTAAGGCTTTCTTCTGATTTTTGTATGGGACTTCTGGGGCTTCTCAGGGAGGTGTGGAGGGGGAGGAAACACTCCTCTGTAAGACAGGAGTCCCAGTTTATGTATTGGACTTGGGTGAAGGCAGTTAGAGGGAATTTGGGCGAGAAAAGGGCAAAATGTCACCTTTTTTTTTTTTTTTTTTCATAGAATCTTAGTATCCAGCTGCTTTGTTTTATTTCCAGACAAATACTCGTCGCAGTTTGGTGGCGGGAGTCAGTATGCATATTTCCATGAGGAGGATGAGACCAGCTTCCAGCTGGTGGATACAGCCCGAACGCAGAAAACGGCGTACCAGAGGAACCGCATGCGGTTTGCACAGGTAATGTGTTTTCAGAAGCAGGCTCAGAGGAGAGCTTCAGCGGCACGCAGGTGTTTTGCGACTGATGTATTTTTTTTAATTTTTTTTTTTTTTCCTCCTTTTCTTTGTTTCTGCAGAGGAACCTTCGGAGAGACAAGGACCGTCGGAACATGCTGCAGTTCAGCATGCAGACGCTGCCAAAGAGCGCCAAGCAGAAGGAGAGGTGAGGCCTCAGATACGAGCGTACCGTACTTGGGTTGGAGTGTGTGAACGTACCGTTGATAAATTTATGAAGTTACTGTAACAGAACCCACTAGGGCTAACAGCAAAGAATTTTGGGATATTTCAAATCACTGATGCCCCCGGTGGTTATGAGCCTGGGTTTCGAACCGCTGTCGAAGAATTTAGAAGGATTTTTGGGTCATGTTTAGAAAGCAAACATGACGTTTTAAAGCCGAGCATACCCATGCTGAAAACGGTGTTGCAGTCTGGAGATGAAAATATTTAAAGGGTTGCTCAGAATAAAGCACGGAGCTTTTAGTGTTTCGGGCATCTTGATCAACAGACAGCTCAGCACATGTTGCAGTGGCTCGGTGCCTAAAAGCATTGCTCCTCTGGTGGTAGCTTGGAAGCGTAGGAATGGCTGTGGCGCGTAAGAATCAAGAGCTTCTCCTCACGGCTTTTCTCACGTTTATCATTTTAGAGATCGTTTGCGCCTACAAAAGAAGTTTCAGAAGCAGTTTGGAGTGAGGCAGAAGTGGGACCAGAAATCCCAGGTAAACTCGCAAGCTTTGTGCCCGCTGCGATGGCTTGGTTTCTCTGGCTGCGCTCACGGGGCAGCCGCTCTCGCGCAAATCCTGATGTGCTCTGTCTCCGTTTCTCTCTCCGTCTGCCCCACCTCTGGCCGCGCAGCAGAAGCCTCGTGACTCCTCTGTTGAAGTCCGCAGTGATTGGGAGGTGAAAGAAGAGATGGATTTTCCTCGGCTGATGAAGATGCGCTACCTGGAGGTGTCGGAGCCGCAGGACATGTGAGTTCCTAAAGCGGCTGTGCCCTTGCTTCTTGAACGGACTGGATTTTTGGAAAGCAGGAGGGACAGGGGTCTCCTGGCCTGGTCCCAGGGATTTCATTGAGGTACCCAAAGCAAGGGGAGGTGATGGAACATCCAGCAGGCCCCTCAGTCCCATGTGGTTTGTGGGTGGTGTTAGCTGCAGGTGTGTATCAGGATGGTCCCTTTCCCTCTGCAGAGAGTGCTGCGGAGCCCTAGAGTACTATGACAAAGCCTTCGACCGCATTACAACGAGGAACGAGAAGCTACTGAGGAGCATTAAGCGCATCTTCCATACCGTCACTACTACTGATGACCCAGTTATCCGAAAGGTACGTTTACTGGTTTATAAAACCCAGTAGTGTGTTTCTCGGTGGGTGCTGTTTTAGAGACCAGCTGTCGCCCTCAGACCGAAGTTAAGAGAAGGACAGAAAAATTCCAGATCCCCCAGCTCGCTAAGGAAAAGAAGCATTAGCTGGCATCGTTATTTTCCTTAGGTCCAAGGCAGAGCTAGATTAATGCAAAACGAGGAGTGCTGGCCAAGGAAAAGCTGTAATTCTGGAAAGGCAAGGGGAGCAGTACTTGAGCTGTGTTAGGAAAGAAACTTCCACGTCAGAGACCTGGCTCTTGGGGTTTCTGCTTTTGGAGATGAGGAAGGGTCGGAGAGTTCTTTCTGTGACCTGATGAGCAATAAGGAGCCATGCCTTTTCCCCACAGAATTAATATTTTGTAATAGCTTTCTTAGTTTTTCCTTGTTTGGGTGAGGGTGGGCCTGGGTTGCTGGGTAGTACCTCGCGCTTTGTCTGGCAACCTACCAGCCTGGCTCCCCCAGCGCGGTAGAAGAAATTAGCTATCTGGTTTGCTAACGCTTCTCGTCCCGGCTGGGGAAGGGAAGGGGTGTCTGTTCCTGTTGCTGAAACACTGTTTTCTCCTCCTCTGTCCGTAGCTGGCCAAGACCCAAGGGAATGTGTTTGCCACAGATGCCATCCTGGCCACACTGATGAGCTGCACTCGCTCCGTCTATTCCTGGGACATCATTGTCCAGAGAGTTGGATCCAAGCTTTTCTTTGACAAGAGGGACAATTCAGATTTTGGTGAGGAAAAGTCCTGAAAGAAATTTCTGTTAGAGTAGGTAAAGGGTCTAATTTTCTTTATGCTTTTTTGAGTTTAGTCTGTCTCAGTGTCCAGACTGAGACCTCTGGAACAACCTGATTACTGCAGGACACTTGCTAGCTGTGGGGGTAACTTCAGGACTGATCTGCTGCAGTGTGGGGCTGGAGACTCACTGAAGCTGACGTCGTTTCTCCCATGAGTGTAACCTCTTGTGTCTGGTTTTCTTCCCAGATCTCCTGACGGTGAGTGAAACAGCCAATGAACCACCGCAGGAAGAAGGCAACTCCTTTAATTCTCCACGCAACCTTGCCATGGAAGCTACCTACATCAATCATAACTTCTCGCAGCAGTGTCTGAGGATGGTAAGGTTGGGCAGTGCCGGGTGGTAGGGTCTGTGTTTCAGAGAGTCTCAGGAAGAGCCTTCATTAAGGCTGCTTTAGTGCAGCACTTTTAATTGTCAGAATTATGTTACAGTGATGTTCTTGCAGCTTGAAAAGGGGGATTACTTCTGGTGAGCAGTGTGATTTTGTTGTAGAAAGGTTTTTTCACCTTGATTCCTCAAAGAAATGCCACTCCCATTGGTGAAGCAGGCAGGCTTCTGAGTACACTTGGTGAAGCCGAAGTGCCAGTAGAAGTACTGGTTACAGCGGAGTGACTAATGTGAGGATGAGGCTTCTCATGAGCTGTCTTAGTATTTTAGCATTTTTCTATATAAGGGGAATTAGCTACTGTTGCTAACAGAGAATATTTATCCAGTAGGGGAGAGCTCCCTCAGATTTTTTTTTTT